GGACTGGGAGGGACTGGGATGGACTGGGAGGGACTGGGAGGGACTGGGAGGGACTGGGATGGACTGGGAGGGACTGGGATGGACTGGGATGGACTGGGAGGGACTGGGAGGGACTGGGATGGACTGGGGGGAACTGGGATTGGACTGGGAGGGACTGGGAGGACTGGGATGGAACTGGGAGGGACTGGGGTCACTTTAAGGAGCGCGGGAAAGCCGCCGCGGGGCATGACGGGAGTTGTAGTCCAGGGAGCAACATGGCTCTGTGGGGCGCGGGGCACGATGGGAGTTGTAGTCCCGGGCGTGGCTGCTTGGCGCCCCCTCTCGGTCGCCAGAGGTCACCCTCCATTCAGGGCACTGGTTTGGACTGGGATGGACTGGGAGGGCACTGGAATGGACTGGGAGGCACGTAGATCACACTGGGATGAACTGGGACCACACTGGGATGAACTGGGAGGGTACTGGGATGAACTGGGAGGGTACTGGGAGGGTACTGGGATGAACTGGGAGGGTACTGGGAGGGTACTGGGATGAACTGGGATGCACTGGGAGGGTACTGGGAGGGTACTGGGAGGGAACTGGGAGGTACTGGGATGAACTGGGAGGTACTGGGATGAACTGGGAGGGTACTGGGAGGGTACTGGGATGAACTGGGAGGGTACTGGGATGGACTTGGAGGGTACTGGGATGGACTGGGATGCACTGGGAGGGTACTGGGATGAACTTGGAGGGTACTGGGAGGGTACTGGGGTGAACTGGGATGCACTGGGAGGGTACTGGGAGGTACTGGGATGAACTGGGGAGAAACTGGGAGCACTGGGCTGTACTGGGAAGGGCGCTTAGAGACACTGGGATGAACTGGGCTGAACTGGGCGTAACTGGGAGGAACCGGGAAGGGCACTGGGCTGAACTGGGCTAAACTGGAAAGGGCACTTTGGGGCAGTGGGAGGAACTGGGATGAACTGGGAGGGACTGGGAGGCCCTGGCAGGTGAACTGGGAGTGCACTGGGTTGAACTGGGATGAACTGGGATGGGCACTTAGGGGCCCTGGGGGGAACTGGGATTGAACTGGGAGGGACTGGGATTGGACTGGGCTGAACTGGGAGGGACTGGGATGAACTGGGAGGGACTGGAAAAGCCACTCAAGAGCACTGGGCTGAACTGGGATGGGCACTGGGAGGGACTGGGAGGAACTGGGAGGAACTGGAGGGGGAACTGGGCTGAACTGGGAGGGACTGGAATTAACTGGGAGGGACTGGGAAAGGCACTGGTCTGAACTGGGAGTCACTGGGAGGCCCTGGAGGGGGAACTGGGAGGGACTGGGATGAACTGGGAAAGGCTCTTAGGGGCACTGGGATGAACTGGGAGGAACTGGAAGGGGGAACTGGGCTGAACTGGGAGGAACTGGGGTGAACTGGGAGGCTCTGGAAGGGCAAACGGGGCTGAACTGGGATGAACTGGGAGGGACTGGAAGGGGGAACTGGGATTGGACTGGGCTGAACTGGGAAGGGCTCTTAGGGGTACTGGGCTGAACTGGGAGGAACTGGGGTGAACTGGGAGGCCCTGGAAGGGGGAACTGGGCTGAACTGGGAGGAACTGGGAGGAACTGGAAAAGCCACTCAAGAGCACTGGGCTGAACTGGGATGGGCACTGGGAGGGACTGGGGTGAACTGGGATGAACTGGGAGGGACTGGGAGGCCCTGGAGGGGGAACTGGGATGAACTGGGAGGCACTGGGGTGAACTGGGAGGGACTGGGCTGAACTGGGATGAACTGGGAAGCACTGGAGGGGAAACTGGGAGGGACTGGGCTGAACTGGGAGTCACTGGGCTGAACTGGGAGGGACTGGAATTAACTGGGAGGGACTGGGCTGGGCACTGGGCTGAACTGGTTTGAACTGGTCCGAACTGGGATTTAAAGGCCGCGGCTCCTTCCTCCCCCTCCTCCTCCTCCCGATGGAGCGGCTGCTGCCGCTGCTGCTGCTGGCCACTGGTTTGTACTGGTTTATACTGGTTTGGACTGGTTTGGGCTGGGGGGCACCCGGAGGGGGCTGCTGGCCACTGGTTTGTACTGGTTTATACTGGTTTGTACTGGTTTGGGCTGGGGGAGACCCGGAGGGGGCTGCTGGCCACTGGTTTGTACTGGTTTATACTGGTTTGTACTGGTTTGGGCTGGGGGGCACTGGGGCTGCTGCCGCTGCTGCTGCTGGCCACTGGTTTGTACTGGTTTATACTGGTTTGGACTGGTTTGGGCTGGGGGGGACCCGGAGGGGGCTGCTGGCCACTGGTTTGTACTGGTTTATACTGGTTTATACTGGTTTGTAGTGGTTTATACTGGTTTGGCCTGGGGGGCACTGGGAGCAAACTGGGGGGGCACTGGTTTGTACTGGTTTATACTGGTTTGGGCTGGTTTGGACTGGGAGTGAACAAGGAACAAACTGGGGGGGCACTGGGAGCTGCTGGTTCGCACTGGGACTGGTTTGTACTGGTTTGTACTGGTTTGGGCTGGGGGACACGGGTTTGGACTGGTGTGTACTGGTTTGTACTGGTTTCTACTACTGGTTTATACTGGGGAGCACTGGTTTGTACTGGTTTGCACTGGGGGGCACTGGGAGCTGCTGGTTTGGACTGGGAGGGACTGGGGGGCACTGGGAGCACTGGGATGAACTGGGAGCACTGGGAGTGAACTGGGAGTGAACTGGGAATGAACTGGGAGCACTGGGAATGAACTGGGAGAGCACTGGGAATGAACTGGGAGCACTGGGATGAACTGGGAGTGAACTGGGATGAACTGGGAGCACTGGGAGTGAACTGGGAGCACTGGGAGTGAACCGGGAATGAACTGGGAGCACTGGGAGTGAACTGGGAGTGAACTGGGAGCACTGGGAGGACACTGGGCCATACTGGGATGGAGCCAGAGGTGAACTGGGGACACTGGGAGGGAACTGGGAGGAACTGGGAGGGACTGGGAGGGAACTGGGATGGACTGGTTTGAACTGGGATGGACTGGGAGGAACTGGGAGGGACTGGGAGGGACTGGGGGGGACTGGGATGGACTGGGAGGGAACTGGGAGAAACTGGGAGACCACCAGTCCAAACTGGTCCATACTGGTTTCTACTGGTCCAGACTGGTTTCTATTGCTTTTAACTGGTCCATACTGGTTCTAACTGGTCTGTACTACTTCTAACTGGTCTGTACTGGTTCTAACTGGTTCTAACTGGTTCTAACTGGTCTGTACTGGTCCGCAGAGGCCGCGGGGCCGGACGAGAACTGGGGAGACACTTTGGGGGTACTGGGATGAACTGGGAAACCACCAGTGCAAACTGGTCCGTACTGGTTCTAACTGGTCCCTACTGGTCCATACTGGTTCTAACTGGTCTGTACTGGTTCTAACTGGTTCTAACTGGTCCCTACTGGACAACAGCAGCTGTGGGGGTGGACAAGAACTGGGGAGACACTTTGGGGGTACTGGGATGAACTGGTCCAAACGGGTTTCTACTGGTTTTAATGGGTTTCTACTGGTTCTAGCTGGTCCAGACTGGTTCTAACTGGTCTGTGCTGGTTCTAACTGGTCCGTACTGGTTCTAACTGGTCTGTACTGGTTCTAACTGGTCCGTACTGGTTCATACTGGTCCGTACTGGTTCCAACTGGTCCGTACTGGTTCTAACTGGTTCATACTGGTCCATGCTGATTCTAACTGGTCTGTGCTGGTTCTAACTGGTTCTAACTGGTCCATACTGGTTCTAACTGCTCCCTACTGGTTCTAACTGGTCCGTAGTGGTCCATACTGGTTCTAACTGGTCCGTAGTGGTCCATACTGGTTCTAACTGGTCCGTACTGGTTCTAACTGGTTCTAACTGGTTCTAACTGGTCCGTACTGGTTCTAACTGGTTCTAACTGGCTCTAACTGGTCCGTACTGGTCCATACTGGTTCTAACTGGTTCTAACTGGTCCGTACTGGTCTGTACTCATTCTAACTGGTCCATACTGGTTCTAACTGGTCCGTACTGGTCCGTACTGGCTCTAACTGGTTCTCACTGGTCGGCAGCGGCCGCGGGCGCGGACGAGAACCGCATCGTGGGCGGGGAGCGCTGCGAGCGCCGGCGCCACCCGTACCAGGCGCTGCTGCTGCAGCCGGGCGGCGCCATCCACTGCGGGGGCGTGCTGGTGGGGCGGAGCTGGGTGCTGAGCGCCGCCCACTGCCGCACCGACAGGTGAGCACACCTGGGCACACGTGGGCACACCTGGGCACTCACCTGGGCACACAAATGGGCACACCTGAGGGGAATAAAACACACCTGGGCACACCTGGGCACTCACCTGGGTACAGCTGGGTACGGCTGGGTACGGCTGGGCACACACCTGGGTACACCTGGGCACATGTGGGATACACCTGAGGGGGATGGAAACACACGCAGGCACACCTGGGTGGGGGGGATAAAAACACACCTGGGCACACCAAGCCTCACCTGTCCCTCACCTGTCCCTCACCTGTCCCATTACAAACACGCCTTTACCTGTTCCAGGTGAGCTCACCTGCGCTCACCTGTGCCCCCTTTACCTGTGCAGCCCCCTGCGGGTCCTGCTGGGCGGGCACAGCCTGATGGGACCTCACCTGTCCCTCACCTGCCCCTCACCTGTCCCATTATAATCACCCATTTACCTGTCCCAGGTGAGCTCACCTGAGCTCACCTGAGCTCACCTGTGCTCACCGGTCCATCCACAGCCCCCTGTGCCAGCACAGCCCTCACCTGTCCCATTATAATCACCCAATTTACCTGTCCCAGGTGAGCTCACCTGAGCTCACCTGTGCTCACCTGAGCTCACCTGTGCTCACCGGTCCATCCACAGCCCCCTGTGCCAGCACAGCCCTCACCTGCCCTATTACAATCTCCAATTTACCTGTCCCAGGTGCATTTACCTGCCCCAGGTGTATTTACCTGCCCCAGGTGAGCTCACCTGTGCTCACCTGAGCTCACCTGTGCCCCCTTTACCTGTGCAGCCCCCTGCGGGTCCTGCTGGGCGGGCACAGCCTGGTGGGACCTCACCTGCCCCTCACCTGTCCCTCACCTGCCCCTCACCTGCCCCTCACCTGTCCCATTATAATCACCCATTTACCTGTCCCAGGTGAGCTCACCTGAGCTCACCTGCGCTCACCTGTGCCCCCTTTACCTGTGCAGCCCCCTGCGGGTCCTGCTGGGCGGGCACAACCTGAAGGAGCGCGACGGGGCGGAGCAGTGCCTCACCTGGGCGCGCGCCTTCGTGCACCCGCGCTACCTGCCCGGCCGCCATGACAGTGACGTCATGCTGCTGCGCCTCAGCAGCCCCGCCCACCTGAGCGCGCGGGTGCAGCCCGTGGCGCTGCCCCGCAGGTGTCCCCAGGTGGGGGACAGGTGCGTGGTGTCCGGCTGGGGCAGCACGCGCAGCCCGCAAGGTGAGACACACCTGGCGGCAGGTGAGGGGGCGGGACACACCTGGGGGTCAGGGACACACCTGGGGGCAGGTGAGGGGCGGGGACACACCTGGGGGCAGGTGAGGGGGTGAAGGGCACAGGACACCTGGAGGGGTCAGAAGAGGGGAACAGGTGAGATGGGAGGGGACAGGTGTGGGACAGGTAAGGTCTGGAGGGGTCAGAAAAGCAGGACAGGTGAGGAACAGGTGAGGTCTGGGGGTGGACAGGTGAGGGACAAATGAAGAACACGGGAGGGGGGCGGGTAACACCTGTCCCACACCTCTCCTCACCTGTCCTCACCTGTCCCACCTGTCCCTCACCTGTCCCACCCATCCCCACCTGTCCCACCTGTCCCTCACCTGTCCAATCCATCCCCACCTGTCCCACCTGTCCCTCACCTGTCCCACCTGTCCCTCACCTGTCCCTCACCTGTCCCATCCATCCCCACCTGTCCCACCTGTCCCACCTGTCCCACCTGTCCCTCACCTGTCCCACCTGTCCCTCACCTGTCCCACCTG